GTAGATCTCCTACACGATACACGGACCATATTGTTGCTACCATTGGCGCTTCATTGTCAGAATGTGCTAGATTGGCAGAAGATAGAAAAACGTGGAGGAACATTGGAAAAATTACCTAACAGCTTCATGATATCACGATACCTGCATCAGGTTAACGACTAAGAAGAAGAATACCCTTCATATCTCTTGTAAATCTATATAATTTCATATTTCATCAGTTTATTTTCTACAGTAGTTCAGTTGGACCTTTAGTTAATGCTCAGTTTCATAGAATTTTGAAATTTGCAGATCACATCACCGTGATTGTGACTGCCCATCTAAGTTGACAGGTCAGATGTCACTTTAACATTTCCGTAAGACCAGGAGTCATTGTCTCTCGTGATGCCAAGTAATATGTATCTTCGTCGTTTTTTTTTAATTTTTAAACTGTTTGTCCTTGTGTTGTGTTAATGTATAATTTACTGTTTATGACATTCTCCATATATTGTTGCATAGCCACAATTTGACGAAGTAAGTCTAGAATGATATATTGCATAAAAAATTTTATCGAATATTAACTTTTTTCGATTTTCCGAAGTAATTAATTTTCAGCTGAAAAAAAGTTGCATGGCTTATTTCAGATACCACTGAAGATGCTCTAGGAGCGAAAGTACTTGGGCAAGATTTAATTAATAAACTGTGCTCGATATCTGCCTTTTATTTGATTAAAATTTATAATTATTTTGACGATTTCTGCTAGAATAATTTTTAACTGGAGCTAGTACCTTTCCTTAGCCCTTACGCTATATTTAGAGAACCTAAGGAAATTATTACTTAAAAAATATAGATATAATTCTAAATGACCAAATTGAGATAAACAGCTCTGTCCTAATAACCTTATTTAGTAAAATACTTAGATTTGCAGACATGTAGTCAAAATACATCACTTGCGAAAAGTACTTTGTCGAAACAGCCGAAGTAAAGATGAGTGATGTGAGGAAAATGTTTGTGTGTTTTATTTTTAGATAAAATGAACTTCCATCAAGTGACGATTGAAATCATAACTTAAACATAAATTTGTTTTGACATTAATGAGTCTTTTTAATTAACATGCGATATAAATGTGGCTAAAACCACATTTTAGCTTCCATAATTAATTTTTTCCTTAGTAAAGGACTCTTACTACTTACAAATGGTCATTTATCAACTATAAAGTCTTATGATTTGATTATAAGCAGGCCCACAGTCTCTTAGTTTGCAATTATCGACGCTCTTAAAAGTATCTAATCTATCTTAAAAGCCTACTCAAGGAAAGCTGTATTGTAAGATTGCCGTAGGTCGGTTCCTTTCATCGCTAACTAGTTAAAAGACAAGATTAAGACATATTTACTGGACAAAGAACATGTTTATTCTGATTAGGTAAAATGAAAGTAAATTGGATTATTTCAAATAAAGCATGATTTCAACTAAAATTATTTGCTGTCGGTATCTCAGCGCATAAAAGTATATTATTTTCTCCAAACAGCCCACGAAAGAATTTAACTAAAATTAAACACTAACTGGAATAGTTTTAAAGCCATACAGTGACGTAAAATATATTGGATTAATATTTGATGAAACTGGCAATTGGGAGACAAGTATTAATCAAGTAGCTCTGAGATGCCAAAACCGGCTAAGCATCCTTGGATTCTTTTCAAATAAATGTTAAGAAGCCAACAGAAAAACATTGTTGCTGGTATAAAGAACCCTCATTCCCTCAAACCGTAAATTTAAAACAAAATTAACAATAATGCTTCTATATAACACCTAAGACATATATAAGAACTCCTATTAATATTATTCAATAGCAACTAGATGAGCCAACTGTATATCAGTGATATAGCCAAATCTATGCCGTTTTAATACATTTAACCCTTTCCAGATAGATGATCCCATTTGGGATCATAGCAATGTTTTCTGCTTTAGCGGCAAAGGAAACTACTTATGTCGATTTGGCGAACGGTATTGCTGTATAGTGAGCCAATACCTACCTACTAGATGATGCTGCATTAATTTAGTTGACAATTCTATCAGTAAGCGTTAGTCACATTTCAAGATAAAACTTCGTAGTGAAACAACGATCATCGATTCAATGAAAATTTAAAATCATTCTAAGGTGAATAATTGAAGCAGTAATTGCACAAAAAAATTATTTTGCTTTTTATATTGTTTTTATTTCATAATTTGCATTATAGTTTGCTCAGGTTTTCAAGAATGTTTATTTAAACATTATAAATATCAATGAATCCAAATGTGATCATTGGACCATTGTGGAGGTCTCCAAATAGCATCATTGGGAAGTCATGTGCATTTTGTTTCTGCCAATAAAATACAAAAGGACAATATACTTTTTTATTTCAGATTGATCGTGTGTTCAAAACTACCAAAACCAAACTTTCTTTTCGGTAATTGCAAAATATGTCCCAGAAAGAGGTAATTAGTCTTCTTGATGACTCTGATATCGAATTTAATGTTGTTAATGAGGAAGAGACTTTAAAAGAAGAAATGATTAAATAAACTCAAATAGAAGAATTATTGGAAAATATTGTTGAAGATAGCTGGAACTCAAGTTACAAAGAATATGAAATAAAACACTGTTGAAGAAATTACAGAAGAGCCACAGACAAGTCATCCCAAAAAAGCATAGAAAAACCAACTTAGACAGACAACAATTTAGTTGATGTAAATAGCGAAAATAGTTGTGATTTTTCAGTTTATGAAAATATTTATACACTTTTCCAATATTTTAAAATGTTTTGTGACAATATTATTCAAAGTTTTGCTGAGCAGTGTGCAAAATAATATTGATACAAATGCAGCAGAGATAGAGCAGATAGCTGATATCATGTCACGTAATGGTTTTGATAAACTGCGAGCATATTTTCACGTCAACGCTAATTTGAAAGTCTCGTCTAGCAACAATGACAAATTACATAAAGTAAAACCTTTTATTGAAAATGTTCGGCAAAATATGAATAAGATAGAACCTGGGATAGAACCCTCTTATTATACTATTCAAAGGACATGGTAATCTAAAGCAATATATAAAAAATTAACCTCATAAATGGGACACAAAAGTTTTTGCAAGAGCAGGACGCAGCGGCATACTATACGATTTTAGGATATATGTGGGGAAAAGAACAGTCTAAGTTGAATCAAGTCTTGAAAATAGTAAAGAAATAGTACTGAAATTGGTCAGAAATCTGCCAAACCACATAAATTTTGAGATTTTCACGGATAATTGGTTTACATCTTATAATCTACTTTTAATTAGTCTAAAAGAACGGGGCTTCCTTGCTGCAGGGACTGTAAGAAGTAAGCGGCTGGTAGGTTGTCCTTTTTCAGAAGACAAAGTTTTAGTGACAAAAGGTTGTGATCTGCTTTAAAAATAGACGGCAAAAAAATATTACTGGTAAGTAAATATCCTTTTCATAAAATAGAATAGAAAAGAATAGAATAGAAATATGCTTTATTGTCACTGAAAATTATTGAACAATTTTATGGACAAAGCTAAAAAATAAATCAGTCAAATAATACAAAAAGTATAAAACAAAAACAATATAGTAAAAAACAAAATAACACAATTTTAAATTAGTAAAATTATTGTATAACCTACATAATTTGTACAAACAACAACAAATGAGACAAATTGTAGCCACTGCTTGAGACACCCAAATGTAATTATAAACAATACTAATTTTGTTTCTTTGTTATACATTAAGAAACTCGTCAACTGAGTAATATGGTCTTTCTGAGAGATAGATTTTTGTCACCTTACGAAACTTAATGAAGGATGTTGCGGATTTAATTTCTCTTGGAAGGTGATTATAAAGTTTCTTTGCTTTAAAATGAAGAGATGGTGCAAGACAAGCAAAATCTATGTAGAAATTGAATGGCCAGCAATTGTCAAAGAATATATTATTCCGATAAGGGGTATAGATTTGCATGACATGCTTGTGGAATTATATAAAACCAAAATCAAGCCAAAAAGATTCTATTTGAGAATAATATTGATACATGTATTGTCAACTACTGGTTGCTATATCGAAGACACTGCAAACAAAAACATACAAATAAGAGACAAGTAATGCATCCTGCACCAGTGCAAGATGTTTGATTTAATGTTGTAGGACACTGGCCACTACATGATCAAAATCGCACAAGGTGCAAATTATGTGTAAAGTCCCACTCTAGAATAAAATGTTCTAAGTGCAATATTTTTTTTATGTTTAAACAATAATAAGTACCTATTGTTTTTATAGGTGCCATGTTACAAAATTAAATTGTTAATAGTATAAATGCAATAATAAACGTATTTCCTATTATAGTCAATTTTTTACCAGACCACTATATCAAGTGTTATAAATGGATAACTCAGGTTCCAGCGACGCCAGATGATTCCCAATGGGATCAATTTTTTTTTTAATTGAAGATTATAGGATGCTAAATTTTTACAAAAGTTATCAACAATTATTTTTTCTTGTATCGTTTCCTATAAAATAATATTTTTTTGAACAAAATTTATTAAAAAAAAAATTGGGCTGGAAACGGTTAACCAACTATCTTTCAAGAACTTAAAAACTCATATCACGCAATAATCCATCATTATACGAAAATCTATTAAGCATTTAAAACTTGTACGATACTCTGTACATCGAAAAATGCATCGCATCGAAAAGTTGAAACCACTATAAAATTTGTATCTGCATTAATCGCAGTTTAACCAAATGCTTGTAAACAAATAAAAGAAAATCAGATAGTATTGACAAAACTTTTGCTTCAAGACTTGTCTAATCATGTAAGCAACTCAACCTTAATGCGAGATACGAGCTGAGCCCGAATATACCAGTGATGATATATGAAACTATTTACGTGACACAAGTGACTCTTCGTAATTTTATATCATTGTAATACAATGTTTTAACGGAATTAACATTTATTGTTGAAGCAAATACTTTATTAAAATAAACTTAAAGACTTACCGAAATAAGCGTAACAATCCACATACAATATGTGAGCATATACGAAAACATCAGGTTCATGTGTATGGTGTTCCTCAAACAACGAAGTTCTCTGCAACAAAAAAATATATATTTTAAACAGAAGTTGCTAATTTATGTATCGATTAATAAAGATAATTTATCAGTAAAGTCTCCTGATCTTTTTATTACCTTAATGTCTAAAAAACAACGCTTTGTTCTTGCTCGACCTTAACGCCTATTTGCCGGTGTTTATAAAATCTATTGTCCAGTATATATGTCCAGTATACTTTGAATACTGTCCTACAGGATCGCACTTACCACATCATTCACATTTTTGGTATATGAACGGTAGCTTAAACGGTAGTCGTGTAATTACTATATTGAATAGATAGATGATCTAAAACTATGTTGGCTACAATGGAGCTGATCGGAGAGCTCATAGTAGTACCAAAGGTTTGTGAGTAAAAAGTAAAAAAATTAAAAAAAACGTATTAGATAAAATAAAGTCCTATCGACATAAGAAATTATTCTTAATTATTGTGGCATTTGGTTCTATTAAGAGCCAATTTTGTTCTAAAATTGTAATAATCAGGTAAAATAGAATGTTCCAGAACACCGATACCGCATCTAGCGGCATAATTACCAAGCTTTGAGGAATTTATAGGATAAATCAGGAGCTTTATTTATCAGGAAAGTAATATTCCTGATTTGATTGACAAACGTGAATATCTTTTATATTGTAGTTCGTTCGATCTTCAAAGGTAATATATATAATGCTAGTTAAGTATTTGCAGTGGTTGTAGGTAGTAGAGTTGACTGAGCTGATGGTATGACAAAGAGGAATATTACTTTTGTGAATTTTTGGTACAAGTTTAACTTGGGAAACACCGAGTTGTAAATCATCAGTTGTTTTGCTGCATTTGTGTCTATGTTACCTGTGGATTAAACCACAAACGACTAGAAAAATACAGAAAAATCATACAAAACAGCTAAGAGTAAATAATGGGAACGAATTCCGGATGAAACGAATAAACAAGAAAGAACCACAAATATTAGAAGACACAAGCATGTCAGGCAAAATCTTAGAGTTGGTGGAGAAAAGAAGAGTTATGCTACAGCTTACTATAAAAACAGAAAAAAAACTCAAGAAATAGCAGAGCTAAGCAGGAAAGTAAAATGTGTATCAGAGTTAAAAGTAGCCATATAAATAATGTGTGTCAAGAACTGGAGTAACATGCAAACTCCTCTGGGTTAGCCCGCAAAAATATTTATCCCCAGAGCTAAATCCACAACTCCAAGCCATTAAATATTAAAATAGCAAAGTAAACCCCGACATAGGAAGCATTGTAGAAACGTGAAAGAATTTTTTAAAATAATCCCTTTTTGAAGGCGATTTCCGCTTGTCGAAATCGACGCGTCAAAAACTAGTTAAGGCTGTTTTATAGGTGTACCAAAACCTGGCAACTTTTATTTACCGACAAAATGTCTCGAAATTTGGACACAATATTCGAAACTATGTTGCTTTTAAAATTATGGTTTAACTTTTTTTATTTTTTTTACTTCTATTGAAAAATTGTATTATACTGTTTAACGTTCTATTATAACCAAACTTTTTACGCCCTATCACTTGAAGAGTTTTTTTCTGTAATCGTTGATTTTTTTTTCACCTTTCTGTGTCCAGTAATAATCGAGAAAAGCGTGTTCAAACTTTGAAGAAAATTGCTAAAAAATACTAAAATCTAATAGTAAAACGTGTTACTCATCATTGTCGCTTAAGTTCACCGTTATCGCCTTCGTGATGTCAAATCTCATAAAAGTACGGTCAGTTAGTTCGTGCTAAAACTAATTTGAATGGAGAGTAATGCATTTGTTGCCCGTTGGCCGACACCACTGAGTAAAGATAGTCTCGCGTAAGCAGTGTAGAAATGTAAGTGATACGCCCATTTCAAATCGCAGTGTGCTTAAACTGCTAAAACAGCCTTAAACGTATTTTTCGTTACAATTAATTGTGGCTTAAACACATGTAAACTTGATATTGAATTAAAATTATATTTAAAATGTAAATAAATGATGTTAAATTCAGATCTGTTGCTTTTACTTGCGTATGTTCTCTCTTAAACGACCAATCTTCTTTAGCCACCAGCTTTTAATTCTCCGAGGGTGGTGGCTATTGGAAAATTTAGCTCTACTACCGACAAAGTAATAATAAAAGTGCGCAGAGGAAAGGATATAATGGAGAATGTGGACGCAAGGCAAACTTTCTAGCAAGACGAATTAAAAAGAAGAACAAAACTATTCAGATAAAAAAAATACATAAAATAATTTAAAAACATGACAAATTAATAATGTATTCGAGCAATAAACATTTTGCAATTTCGGAGACTATACAGTGCCTTACCATCCGGCTTTTTAAAATAAGAGATAGAAAACAAAGTTACCTTGTGAAATAAAAAGAGATAAAACTCGTAGAGGTGGGAAATAATCGATAGAAACCTATAATTTACATTACATTGCATTACCACCATCGACAGTCTCACACCTTTAGACGTTAGACGTGGCTATTTGACTTCAGTCATAATTATACGGATAACCTCAAAAATATTTTATTTTAATGATTTCTGATGTTAGAATAAACACTTGAATAAATTAAGATATATTATAGTAAAAGACATTCATTAGTAGCGATTTTAAATTATAAATCTTTAAATTTATTTAATTGTAAAAATAACTCAACTGAAATATTTGACTAAAATAAAGGTAGGTATGTTTTGTCCGAAAACAATTAATGTATGTAAAAGTGGTGTAGTGGTTAGGGACGTTGTCTATTGACGAGAAAATTGGGGCTCAATTCACACCAAGGATAAAATTTTTGTTTTATCAATAAAAAAATAATAGAAAATATGATACATATTAGGTAACAAATTTTCGAAAAACTCATTATTTACAATTTATTTGTATTCCAATGTTATAAAACGGTACAAAAAAATACAAAATAATTCAAATTCAATTTATACAGTCTTCAGTTGTGAATGCAAAATAATCCGGTGAAGACTGTTTATATCAAATCCATCACTAAATTCTCAATGTTAATATTAATTCCTCTGTACAGGTAATGATTTTCAAAACAATTGACAACATTGGAATGGATGCGCGCAAAGCGAAGCCTTTAAGCCATCAAATAATCAGTTTAAGCGAAGCCTTTAAGCCAGGCAAACATGTCAAGAAGTGCTTTTGCACGGTAAACAGAAACTTTTTATTGAAAAAAAAAATTCGTGAAAATGGTTTTAACGGTCGAGGAAAAAGTGCAAATTGTTGTCTGGCATGTGAATGGATTCTCAGAAAACATGATTAGACAACAATTTGTAAATATGTTTCCAAATAGGCCGGCTCCATCACGATCAACAATTCAATCTATTATACGTATTTTTTTTACTTATGGATCCGTGTTCGCTCCAAATCCAGATTTGGAACTAAGGGACACTTTGATTTGTACAAGTATTGAGCAAAATCCTACCCAATCTCGTCTCGGAGAACAATATGGAATTTCAAGATTTAGAGTTGGTAAAATTTTGAAAAGACATGGATACCGACCCTATAAACTTTATAAATCCAACGAAAAATTCCCTGGGGATCAATATAGACGTTTAGAATTTTGTCAAACTGCAATGGAAATGTCACATCAAGATGAACAATTTTTAGACAACATCTTGTTCACCGATGAATGTACGTTTTCATTTCATGGCCGTCACAATTCAATGAATGCTCGGTATTGATCCCGAGGAAATCCTCGTCAGATTTATGTCGCTAGTACCCAGCGTCCTTAAAAAGTAAATGTTTGGGGAGGCATAATAGGGAATCATGTCATTGGTTCATTTTTTTTAGGCGGTATGTTGACTGGGCGGAAATACTTGGAACTTCTGCAAAATCAAATTGTCCCAGCCCTTCGTAATTTACCAATTCCTCGATTCCATATGGTTTCAACACGATGGTTGTCCTGCACATAATTGTCGCATCGTCAGTGAATATCTCAGTGCGACTTTTCCTAATCGATTGATTAGTGGACACGGAGATATTTTTTGGCCTGCAAGATCACCTGATCTTGCACCTTGTGATTTTTTTATGTGGGGATATATCAAGTCCAAACTATATGGAATTGAAGACGATAGGCCTAATTCCCTCCAAGAATTAAGAGAAAAGATCTCTGATTCAATGAAAGGTAGTAGTCCACAAACAATAACTAATGTTAGACGAAACTTTTATAATAGACTGAGTTATTGTTCTGCTGCTAATGGAGGCTTATTTGAACATTTTTTGTAAAAACATTTCATTAGAATAAAATACGTTTATTTAGAACGTTCTTTTATGTTTGAAGAATTTTTACTTTATTTTCTAAAGTACGACATTGTTTTTTCAATAAGATTTTCATGTTTTACTATAAACACTTCTAATAAGGACTAAAATAAATATTTTATGATTTAAGCAAAACGATATAATATCTGCATAATTTCAAATTTTTAAAAAAAGTAAAAACTACGTGTAGGATTTGAACCCTAACCGCCTGCATGAGTACATCGTGCCTTGAACACTGATCCATCAGACTTTTATAATTCTTTAGTGACAGTTTGGGTTATTATTCTGCTGCTAATAAAGGCTTATTTGAATATATTGTAGATACGTTTATTTACAATATATTTTTATTTTTGTAAAATTTTTACTTTATTTTCAAAAGTACGATGACACTATTTTTTCAATAAGATATTTATGTTTAACTTTAAACACTTCAAATACTAGTAACGACTGACATAAATGTTTAGTGATTCAAAGCAAAACGATCTCTGCATAATTTCAAATTATTAAAAAAAGAAAAAAGAAAACCTCATGTAGGTTTTGAACTCTAATCATCTGCGTCGCAGAGTCGAATTCTTACCACTAATCCACGAAGGATTGCTAATTATTCTGTGACAAGAGTGTATGAAACTCCTCAAATCATAGTAGAAATTATTCTTGGTTAATAATTTAAAACTTTAGAATAAGTAATCACCATTTATTAAATTATTTTAATCACATTTTTGCTTTATTGTGGTCAATCAG